TGGGAGAAAAACTAATATTCCAAACACGGGCCATTCAGTCTGAGTAGCCACAGGGAAGGCCCTTTCATGTCCCCTGTGCTGGCAATGGGACCAAGAAGAGGCCCCTCCTTTGACGTTCTTAAGCACCGAGAAAGCTCTTATGGGGAGATATGGTTCTTTTTAGTAGTCTGGACACAAGCCGTATAGGGCTTTATAGATAGTGTTGGCTGTTAACTGCCCAGAGAGTGTGCATCATACTGTTGGGCAAGATATGAAATGAATGAATGAATCACTGACTGAATGAAGTAGAAAGAAACCCAGTCCATCCTGAAAAGGTCTGACAGATACGTTATGTAATCTGTATTTATCTTAAAAAAAAAACAAAACACCCAACCATATAGGTATTCCAAACAGTAGTGAAATGAAGAGTTACAGAGATTCAAATTTTAAGTATTTTCCCATATTTAAAGACAAAAAAGGCAAATGATCTTTCTTTTGGATGGATACAATAGCATTCCAGGACAGACTTTGGTAGGTATTTCTAGTCTGAAATCACCTGCTTTTATTGTATTGGATTTTAAACAAAATCACTAGAAGATGACTTTTTGCAATTTCTACTTTTTCCACAATTACTCCTTGCACAATAATAATAATACAAGAACAACCATGCAAATAATCTGAAACAAAGCAGCATGTAATTTTATTGAAAGCTGAAGTAGTTCTATGATCTTACGAGTTAACATAAAATTTTCTGTATATTTATCCAGATTGCATATTCACATCTAAACCTGGAAATTAAAGGATCAGAAACAGAGCTTTGAGTAAATGTGAAGAACAGATGTTAGCCCCAAATTTTATGGGCACAGATAAAGTGAGGTATTCAGGTTTAACAATATTCAAAAAGGTTAAAGTAGAACACATGAGGTTTAATAAAACATTGGACTTGAAAGATTCAGCATTCTGAATAAAAAAAGATGAAATATACATATGGTAGGGGATGGAATCATCCAAGACAGTGGCCAAAATCCTGCTGCTTACCACAGTAAATAGCTCTAGAGTAGGCCCACTGAATCAGTGAAGACTTAGTGAGTCAACTCCTCTGTAAGTTCCATTGATTCAAATAGGCCAAATCTAGTTGTCACTTACTAAAGTAAGCCACAGTTACAGTTGGCCCAATTTAATCAATGGAATTTATGGAGGAGATAACTCATTAATCTCCATTGATTCAATGAGCCAACTCTTGTGTGATTTACTATGCTAAGCAACAAGATTTTGGACCATAAAAATACATCTGTTTCAGTGTAATTTATATACAGCAAAGCCAGATACCAAATGATTATGGGAAATAAATACACATCCTAAATACTTGTCATTTGAATATACTTCTGGTATTCTTCTGTCACTGTGGTATGCCTACCCATCAGCAGAATCACCAATACTAACTGCAGGTTGCCTATGAACCATAAGAAAATGACTTACAGGACAAATTGTGGAAAACAAAATACCCCTCATAGTTTTGATCTTATCTTAACCTGATAATACTCAAATACTTCTCCTAGTTGTGGCTTGACTTCAGGGATGGACAGGAGATATTTATGTAGGATTTGCATGTATACATAAGATAAAGACAAGAGAACTATTAAGAAAAAATTTCTCACTGTTAAATAACATTGGCTTTGCTACTACTGCATTATGTGATGATGTGAAGTAGCTAACTTTATAGAGATTCCCTTCATAGTTTGGCTACTTGATAATTACTGCAAGTAAAAATTCCAGTTTATTTCAAACTATAAGCCTAGCATGGTTTTATTATTGTTCTGATTCTAGTGAGATGAGATTGTTAAGTGTCTAAATCATTTAAATGCATTTCCTATTTCCCATTTGGAGAAAAGTGACTGTGCCAATCCTAGTGAGAAAATGGAGAGCAGACCAGATAGGCAGGGTAGAAATCAAATCAAATAAATAAATTATTACATTGTGTTCCTCTCACCTTAGTGGAAAAAGTTCTGAACACCATTAACGTGGTTTGGTTTCCTATGGATAAAAGCACCTGCATAGAATTCTATGCTTCAGAGCTGAGTAGAAGAAAATAGATAGTAGAAGGAATACCTACTAACCACGCATCAGGTTCTCATTGAGATATTGTGCACTACAAGATGACTTACTTTTAGCTAACTTTTAGTTCCCTTCTGCCTATATCTGCTTCTGAATTCAAATGTTTCCACCTGTCTTTTGGTCCCACCTCCCATACTCTGATGGCTGCCACATGCCATGTTCCCAATCCTAAAAATAAATTTCAGAACATAAAAAGCAACTTGAAATCTTTTTATTCAGTACCTGATGACACATCAATTTGTTCAACCAAAACCATAAGCTATAAGTCTATCCATGGTAAGATGGCCAAATTCATAACACTTCTACCAATAAATACTGTTAACTAAAAGAGTGCTCACTTACTATGCCAGCGCTGTACAGAACAAGGGACAGTAACAGCCTTTCCAGTTCATTAAAAAAAGAAACATAAAGAAACAAACAAACCAAAACACACACAAAACATTACAGTCCATAATAACTTCAAATATAATGATTTAGAACAGGCTATGAAATAATAGAAAAAATAAGTTAACAAAAAAATCATTTTACACCACAGACTCATATTTCCACGACATTAAATTGCACAAGAAAACCCCAGCCTTAAAATTATAAAAGCCACAATAACACTGATGTGTTGGCCTTGTAAGCTTGTGCCCTTCATACCTTTGCTTTTGAAATGATTTCCTCATGAAGCCAAATCACCCATGCTGGTCTGGAGATTCTGTGAGTTGTAGTCCCAAAACTACTTTTTTCTAAACTCTGGTTTGAATCATGCCCATGTACTCACCACACAAAAAGGCCAATTCACACAAACAGATTTACAGATAAAATTAGACCGAAATAATCTTTCTTGGAACAAACATGCCCAGAAATCAAACAGACCTGATTTGAGTCTGTTTGATTCAAAACCAGGAAATAGTCTGTTTTTTATGTTCAATGTCTAATCTTGAAAATCACCAAGAGCACATCCTTTTTATTCCATGAAGCTCAAATGACTAAGGACACCAAATGAGTTTCAGTGGATTCACCACAGTTACAGAACCCTCCTCCTCTATGAACCTGATACAGGCTGAATGCAGATTTTCATGTGACATGTCAGCATAAATTTACCATAAAAATAATTATCTCATATTTTGAGAAATGTAATTTTCACAAAAAAAATCATCAGATTAGTGTGTATGACCACACTGAGGAGGCAGTTACATGAAATATTCTACAAGCATATTTGATATTATAAAATATTGCCTTGTGAGACTCTAGCATGCAAAAAGTATTGCTGAGATCTTCTGCCTGGTTTTTACTTGCAAGAATAAAGAGTCGACAGGTTCATATGTTTATTCCACCTATCTCATATTTTTATTTTAAAATACATTTTTGCTCTTAACTTGCAAGATAGGATTAGACATAAAGGAAGTACCTTATAAATAAAATAAATAGCTGCTATTCCACTTGAAAAAAAGATGAATTCCATCAATCAGATCATTATATGTCCCAACATGAAAATCTGATTGCTCAGAGGTTTGACTCAGGACTGACTCTTTCAAATTTGAATTCATCCTTTCAGTAGTAGAATCAAGTTAGGGGGTGCAATGGGTGTAGATGCTCTTGAAAAATAGTTGTGGACTTAGTCATCCATAATCCTAAATATAACAAGAACCCTCTTTCCACATTGTAATTGAGACTCCCAATGAATCACAGACCTCCACCAACACATTCAGCAAACAACAGAAACAATGTTTTACCTCAGTGAAAAAAACAACAAAAAACCCCCCAAAATTCTGTTCAAATAAAAATATAACAGAAGTAGAGAAAGAAAAAGAAAGGGAACAGAAAAAATGAAAACCATCTGAAGAGATTAAATCAACTCAGACACAAACTATTAAAGTCTAGTGTTTCGATCATGAGGTAGGTTTAAACAGTAACAAATCCCAGGCTCTGTATAGACCTGTATAAGCCAGCTCTTTAAAGTCATACAATCACTGACTTCATCGTCTGTTCAAATATACGTATCTCACTCTGACTGAAATGCAGCCCAGCGTGAGGAATAGGCATGATACAATGCTCAAACCAACAGGTCTGGAGCATTTTTAAACTAGGCATCTCTACCCACTGTTAACCTGAGATGTGAAGCTGAAATTCCCTCAGCATATCTGGCCCCAATCTTTGGGCATCTGTTTAAAACATAATAATAATAATAATGTGCTGTCAAGTCAATTCTAACTTATGGTGAGCCTTTTCAAGGTTTTCCAGGTAGCAAATACACCACAGTGGTTTATTATTCCCTTCTTCTGGGGGCATCCTGGGACTATGCAGCTTGTCCAAGGCCATACAGGCTGGCTCTATTCGCAGGAAGCACAGTAGGGAACCAAACTCCCAACTTCTGGCTCTGTAGACAGGTGCTTAAACCAGCCAACTTTATTTAAAATAATGCAGTCCAAATGGCTACATCTAACCATTATTAATGACCTGGTAGGAACTCCCAGAGAAAAATTTAGGAAAGTCATAACAAATGCTCCTTCTATCAGGAACATAATTTAAAAAGAGACACAATCACACATCATGCAAAAGCATATTCAAACTGAAAATAAAGCAATATATGTGTGATATACTAATTTACTAAAGTGGCAGTGTTAGCAGCACCGGCAAAACTCTGAAGTATTGGAGGAGGGAATGCTGACCCCACCTACTGGCCTATAGAAAACTTTTGCCAAGAAAGAGCCTGAAATAATGCCCACTTTGGAATACAAAATCTATATAGACTTTGTGGGAAAACTCCAATGAGAAGAATATTAAATTATTGTCCTCTCTTTTATTATTTGTTATCTCCAAACTTCTGACAATTAAATTAAAACTGGATCCTACACCTGAAAAGGAAGGATTATCCATGCTCAAAGAAGGCAATAGCCTTACCTTTTTATTTCAATTAGGACAGCTATGATTAATGTGAAGATGGAACTGATGAAACTTTAGACCACAGGAAATTCACTACATTATTAATAACTGCATGGTGCAAAACATATAGCAATCTACTCTCCTCCAAACGAGACCCGTTGTAGAAGTCAACTTCTGAACACTGAAATTGCACAGAGACACATGATTTCATTAATATTAAGTTCAATCTTATGCACGTCTATGAGTTCAATGATTCTTCTTTCCAGATCAAAGTATATACAAATTCAACCATGCTTTGCCATTGCAAATTGGCACTCCCCAACATTCACCAGTGTGCCCTGTTACGCAATTTTGGAATTGCTCAATTAATTTTTCCCTGCAAATCCACAAATATGTTGCATTTTGGTATGCCAGTTTTCACTCACATTCATGTGTGGATGTTCCAATATTGATGAAATCACTGTATCAGAATTGGTTCAGTGTGATGTTGACATCGGCCTCCAACTTCTCAGAAGTGGCTCCCAAAACTTAACAAAAATAAATACAACTGTATTTAAAAACACGCATCTTTTTGTTCCAGTAGATTTAAATACTAACTCTCATAACAAATTAAAATGTGAGTTCAAGTTTTTTTAATAAAAGGAGGCTGAAAGATATAATCTCTATCTCACAGTGAACTCTGAAAATTTCCATACAGCACCATATTCACAAGAGGTCCTAATGAACAACAGGGGTGCCGTTTCTTTAAAAAGTGACAGAGGCAGATTAATATACAACACAGTCCAAGTAAAGTAATGTACAATATTGTACAAAAGGAAAGAACAGCACACATGTGTGACTGATGTTGCCAGAGGAGATCTTTTGGCTGGTCTGATAAATACGTGCTTACAAATCAACAATTATCGTTGGAACTGGAGTCCTGGATGTCACAACATGTAGAAAGTATACACTCAGCAAGTCCATTGAGAGGCATCTGCTAATTATTTGCATGTGCTGAAGCATCCAGCCCCCAATCTGGCTGGCCAGCCTGACATCCTGCGTTTCAGCAGATGTAGATGGAACAGTCATTTCTGCAGCATGGTGATGAAACATAGTCATGCTGTATAACACAATGAAGACCGATGCCAAGTCAAACTAGCATACGTGTTTTTTGGGCCTTCATCTTATACAAAACAGCAGAATTGATAGGTGATGACTGAAGGCCTGAAGCCAAGTTATTGATATGTCTGGTCAATGCTTCTACATCAAAACGTAAATGTTAATCGGGTGGCAAGTTGAAAGTGTCATTATGTCTGGTCAATGCTTCTACATCAAAACAAAGCAAAGTACGTAAATGTTAGTCGGGTGGCAAGTTGAAAGTGTCAGGACTTGTTGTCTTCTAAAAGGAGGTCATTTAATGCAATTACAGTAGCTGCAAAGTCCACCAGCTCCACAAAGTCTGATGTAATTATGTTCACGCCCATGACCCCGGGTTTCTGTGACTTCACCCAGTTCAGAATCAAGGGAAGGTTCCTAAAGGAAAAAGAAAAGAAAATGTAATAAATACAACTACATAAGGCACATTTCATTCTGTACCTCGTCAACATACTGGCACTGTATACTGGTTCTTGCTACGATACCGGGTTTCTGTGACTTCACCCAGTTCAGAATCAAGGGAAGGTTCCTAAAGGAAAAAGAAAAGAAAATGTAATAAATACAACTACATAAGGCACATTTCATTCTGTACCTCGTCAACATACTGGCACTGTATACTGGTTCTTGCTAAGATGGTACAGTGTGGCCTCCACTTATGGATGTCCCTACTTACAAAAATTTCAACTTACGAAAAGCTCCGGCCACAAAATTTTGCTTTGACTTGTGGCCGGAGCTTTGAGTTACGGACAAAAAAAGGCAGGGGAAAAGGGTGGAAATTCAAACCGTTGGTGCAAAGAGGCTGCTTCTTCACCTCAACGACGGAGCCAGGGCCAGGCGGCAGCAGTGGAGGTAAGATGCTGCTTTTTGGGTGGCTTTTGCAAGTTGGGATTGGGCTGGTGGGGTTATGCTTAGCGTTATTTTTAGGGCTGGGCTCAGCCTCCCAGGGTTCCCCACTGCCCTGACTGCTGCCGGGGAAGCCTGGGCTTCCCTGCCACCACCGGAGGCCTCCCAGGGTTCCCCAATGCCTCTGGAGGCCTCCCGGGCTTCCCCAGCGGTGGTGGTTGTGGCAGCGGTGGAGCCAGGGCCAGGCGGCAGCAGTGGAGGTAAGGTGCTGCTTTTTGAGTGGCTTTTGCAAAGTGGGAATGGGCTGGTGGGGTTATGCTTAAGGTTATTTTTAGATTTATTTATTTTTTGCAGGCCTAGGGGCTTGCAGTGTTTTATTTTTTGGGGGGGGGGTATTTTTTCTTCAGCTGGAATGGATTAATCAGTTTTCAATACATCCCTATGGGAAATGGTGCTTCGACTTACGAAAACTTTGAGTTGCGGCCACCGTTCCAATACGGATTAATTTCACAAGTCGAGGCACCACTGTATTCTTTAAAATTCAGCTCATACTGGCTGAAGAACAAAGCTTTGTGAGTGGAGTTCAGCTCTCAAAACACTTTGCTCTTGGATCTTGGCTTCCTTTCCTGCTTGCAGCTCCTTCTGCCCTTTCCACTTCCAATCTGCTCCGGCATGAGAGAAGACCCAAAGGGTTGCCAACAAAGGGGACATGGCCAGAAGGATAAATTGGCAAAAACAAATGCGACCCCACTTCTACCCAAACCAGATCCAGTTTTGTGAACAAGCAGGTCTCAACAGTAACACAAGAGTGCTTTGTAGAATGAAACTAATATGATCAGTTATCAAAAATGACATAGAGCATAGGTAAGAACACAGTAAAGCAAGCCACATCTGAAAACACAGCACATGGTGCTAAAAGAAGTCTGAGGAAGGGGGATGGAGGCAAGCAGATGTTTTGCAAGTCACTTTATGTAAAGAGGGATTTTAGAAGTATGTGACTGGAATATGAACTCCAATATTTATGCCTCTGAATTGTTTACTGACTAAAGAAAAGGTAGAAGATCAACCCTCATGCCGTTTAAAGAGAAAATGTGAACCAAGTGAATTCTGGGCTATTTTCTAATCCCATTGGAATTCCAGTGTATAGTGGGCAAGCTGTAGGGTTCAGGGCCAGAGCTGCACATATTGTTATTTCCTAGAACCAATAGGAATTCCAGTACTTTCTTCCCCTGGAATCAACATCCTCAGGTTCTTGCTTTCTGTTTTTTTTTACCTCATGACTTACTAAGAACAGCACAGGACTTTCTTTTTTTAACCTGAGTAAGTTCAATTGACAGGGACAAAAAAAATGTCCCAAAGACAAGAGCAAACAGTAACAATAATATAATAATAAATAAAAACAAAGTGACAACAACAAAACCCTAAAAATAAATTGTTGAGAAAATTGGGCCTGGCTAGTTTTATTCTTACAGTGGTGCCTCGCATTACAACGTTAATTCGTTCCAGCGAAATCACTGTAGAACGAAAACGTCGCAATGCGAAAATAAAAAGCCCACTGAAATGCATTGAAACCTCCTCAATGCATTCCAATGGGCTGGAAACTCACCGTCCAGCGAAGATCCTCCATAGGGCGGCCATTTTCGGTGGCTTTCTTGCAAGGAATCTGTCCCAGAAAACAGCGGGGAGCCATTTTATTTACCCAGTGGCCATTTTGAAACCGCCAATCAGCTGTCCAAAAATCGTTGTTTTGCAAAGAATCGGTTCCCGAAGCAGGGAACCGATCATAGCAAAG